AAGCTTGCGAGCAGGCATCTAAGATACAACTGTTGGTCTCTACTCATATGGAGCAAAGAGAATGAAGGAAATCAAAGGCTCAAAGAAGAAACTAGTCCACGGGACTGTTAGCCCCCATGAACCACAACATCCTCAAACCTGAGATCAGAAGAACTAGATGGTGCCTGGCTACAACTACCTATGGTTCTGACCAGGGACACAATAGAAGGTAGATTGGGGGGAAAATGTAGAACAAAACTCAAATTTCTGAAAAAGGCCAGACCTACTAGACAGATAGAGACTAGAGGAACCCTCAAGACTATCACCCTAAGATACCCTTTGAACTTTGAATTGAAACTATTTCTGGAGGTCACTTTTCAGCCAAATAGTAGTTTGGCTTATAAAATAAGCTATCACTCATGAATAATATGCTCCCTTGAATGATTAACTGTATGAGACCAAATGGTCAACATTTACCCAAAAGCAAAGATGAAAAGGCAAGGAGGGGAAGGGAAGCTAGATCAATGGAAACAGATCAAACCAATTGGAAATAATGAGATTGCTGACACATTGTAAAAATTGTAACCAATAGCACAGAACAATTTGTATAAAAATTGTTAAAGGGGAACCTAGTTTACTGTGTAAACTTTCAGCTAAAGCACAGTAAAATATTACTGTAAAATACTTTAAGGGCTATTTTGGTTTAAGGTTTAAAGATTATCTCAGGGGATTGGTTTCAGGGTGTCATCTAGCCTCCATGGCTCCAGAAAGTCAGGAGTCCATGAAAATTTGAAATTCTGTTCTACATTTTCCCTCTTTTTATCAGGATTCTTCTATAGAATCTTTGATCAAAATGTTCAGTAATGACAACTGGGCACCATCCAGTTCTTCTGGTCTACCGGCAAAGGAGGCAGTTGTTCAAGGAGGCAATTAGCCACACATTCTGGTCTTGCTTTTCCTTTATCCAGTTAACGTTTGTCAAAAGGAAGTAATTCATTGTCAGCTTAGTCAAGTATTAGCTATGTTAACTAGAGCAAGTTAATCTCTCTAAGCTTCTGTCTCCTCACTTGCAAAACAGTGATTATACTCCTACAGGGTTGTTGAAAAGATTAAATTAGAAAATGCTTATCAAGTACTTTGCATGGACTTGTTACATACTAATCTTTGACATATTTTAATCTCATAATTGACATTCATGAACACTTTTACATTTAAACTGGTTGTGAATTGGCAAAAATGACTTGTCTTTCCATTCTGTAATTGTAGTCTTGGATTATATCAATGGAGTGATAAAGTAGTTCGAAAAGTGGAGAGATTATGGGATGTTCGGGATAATAAGAGAGTCCGTCACACCGTGTATCTCCTGGTAACACCTCGTGTTGTTGTAAGTATTATTGAAAATTTTTCCATATCATGAGCCATCTGCTCTTTTCCTTCATTATGGCCCTTGTTAATCATTATTGTTTAAGAACTTATTATTACAGAGCCTGACAGTAGGAAAAGTAATATAAAGCCAGTACAATAAAGCTACAGGCCAAGAGAAATCTGAGGAAGTGGAAATTTGGCAGTGATTCTCATGGCCTCATCCTACCCACTGCTTTAAGCCAGTGCCTCTTAGAATCACCTGTACTCCTATGTTTGCATTATCGCCGGTTGTTTCATTTGATGCTCCTTTCACCCCCTAACTTAATGACAGAAGCCTGTTTCTCTCTTCTCCTTCCTTGACTGCACACAGCTCTCTGTCTTCTGAAGTTTTGGACCACTCTTGGGATATTTGCAGTCCCTGGAAGTCTTTTTATGAAGGACAGATAAAATCAAATATGCAGAATTATATTCTAGTAAATAACTTTTTTCCCTACAGAGACTTATCTGTAATAAGAGCAGAAGTTTATATCTGCATTAAAGTTATTGTTGATACAAGATGTATAAGTGGCAATCATACTAGTCTAACTTTTTTTGAAATATATGTGACTTCGAGTAAAAGTCTTCAAATAGAGGATAAAATATTAAGAGAGATAGTTTACTAGCAAAGAAGAATATGACAGCATCAAAATATTTTAATTATATTAAAAACTTTACTTTTAAAAGGAGTTGTCTTCTCACCAAAGTAATTTTTTTTTTAATTGTGCTTTAAGTGAAAGTTTACAGTTGAAGTCAATTTCTCATACAAAAATTTATACACACATTGCTACTGTGACCCTAGATGCTCTCGCTATAATATGACAGCACACTCCTTCTGTCCACCCCGGATTTCCCATGTCCATTCAACCAGCTCCTGTCCCATTTTGCCTTCTCATCTCGCCTCTGGGCAGGAGCTGCCCGTTTAGTCTCATGTATCTACTTGAGCTAAGAAGGACTCTCTTCACGAGTATCATTTTTATGTCTCATAGTCCAGGCTAATCTTTGTCTGAAAAGTTGACTTTGGGAATGATTTCAGTTCTGGGCTAATGGAGAGTCTGGGAGCCATGTCTTCCAGGATCCCTCCAGTCTCAGTCAGATCATTAAGTCTAGTCTTTTTACTAGAATTTGAGTTCTGCACCCCGCTTTTCTCCTGCTCCATCAGGGACTTTCTGCTCTGTTCCCTGTCAGGATAGTCACTGATGGTAGCCGGGCACCATCTAGTTCTTCTGGCCTCAGGCTGATGGAGTCTCTGGTTTATCTGGCCCTTTCTGTCTCTTGGGCTAATATTTTCCTTGTGTCTTTTCACCAAAGTAATTTTTTAATGTCTGTTGTATTGAATGTGATAAAGATTTTGCCATTATCTTATGGTACTTTTTGGGATTGTATTTGTTTTCTGATTCTTAGGATGAAGCACGAAAACACTTTAACTGTCCAATTCTGGAGGGAATGGAACTTGAAAATCAAGGTGGTATGGGCACTGAGCTCAACCATTGGGAAAAGCGGTTATTAGAGGTCAGTTTATATAAAAATTTTACTGAACTTCTTTTTCTTTAATAAAAGTAATTCATACTCATGGTAAAAGTTATTCAAATAGTGTAATAGATTATAAAATAAAAAGTTAAAAAGGCCCTTTTCCCCGTCAGTTCCCCAGGCCCCCTTTCCAGGTATAACCACTATTTCAGTTTTTTGTATACCCTTCCAGAATTGTTTTCTGTGTGTGTATAATTTTTTTAAAAAACCACACAAATGGGTTTGTACATTTATACAACTTTTTTCACTTAATGATGTATCTTAGACACCTTTCTAAGACAGTGCAAGTGCTTCTACTGTAAATGAAATCTATGCTTTCCTGAAAAATTCATTCTTCAAAATTGGACACTAAAAATAGCAAGGCTTATGGGAGAAAAACAAGTAACCAGAGTACTAACAAAACAATAAATCATAACAAAAATACTATCACAGTTTAAAAAAATATTAAATTTCCAGTAAGTAAAGTCCTATACTTACTTTAGTATTTCTTTACCATAAAAAACAACAAAAAGCAATAGCAGCTTGATGAGGAGCTATAAATCTCAATAATGAAGACAAGGATGAAATGCATAATGATTAGGGAGAACCATGCAATCAAGTACTTCCAAGATAGAGATTCTGGCCATAATGAGCCAAGAGGAAGAACATGAAGTGAACAGGCATCATGTACAGTACATTATTTCTTTGATGTTTTCTGTATTTAGCTGTATTAGTGCACTTTGTGGTTAGCTCCTATTACTTCATGGCACAAAATATTAAAATG